GGGGGCGTGGGGAGGCGGGGAGGGGTGCTGGGGATGGAGAAGCCGGCGGACAAGCGAACACCCCCGGGATGCGGAGTGTGCATCCCCCCGGGGATCGGAGTCTGCCAGGGGGTGAGGAGGAGGAGGAGGAAGGAGGGGAGATGGGATGTGAACTGGGGTTGAGTAGTGGGAGGGTGGGGATGGCCAGGAGGGGAAGAGAGTGGGGAAGTGAGATGGGAAATAAGTCAGGAAATGACCCAGGAATGGAGCTGGAAAATTATCTGGGAAGTGAGATAGGAAGTGAGCTGGGAAGTAAGATGGGAAATAAATCAGGAAATGACCCAGGAATGGAGCTGGAAAATTATCTGGGAAGTGAGCCAGGGAGCAAGCCAGGAAGGGAGCTGGGAAACAAGTCGGGAAGGGAGCCAGGAATCAAGAGGGAAAGTGATCCGGGAAATGATCTGGGAACTGAGCTAGGAAGCGAGCCAGGAAACAAACCGGGAAGCAAATTGGGAAGAGAGCCAGGAAGCAAACTGGGGAGTGAGCTAGGAAGTAAGTCAGGAAGGAAGCCAGGAATCAAGATGGAAAGTGATCCGGGAAATGATGTGGGAAGTGAGCTGGGAAGTGAGCCGAGCTCTGATGACCCCGAGGACGCAGCCGAAACCCAGAGCAGCCACAGGGATGAGGACACGCTTGCCCCAAGCACCGGGCTTTCCCCCAGGATTGCCAAGGCCCAGGTGGCAGGTGATGGACTCGCCCAAAGCACGGAGCAGGATTTGGCCATCACAGGGATGAGCCAGGCGATCAAGGGGTGGGGAGGGACAATCCGGACTCTCAGTGTCACCTCAAACCTGGGGCTGACAATGACGGCGAACGACGTGGGGTCGGACACGTCCTACTCTTTCTCCTCGGTCGCAAAGATCCAGGTGGAGGAGAACTACATTGCTGAGCGGACAGGGCTGGCCAGCCAGTCCCCAGCCTCAAAGGCAAAGTCTATGACTACTACGTCCAGTCCATCTCCCACTCAGTGTCAAAGAAGACGTCTCTACCCTACATCCCTCCAGGAACATCCCGGCGCCACAGCTTGGAGTGGGTCAATGAAGAGCTGCAGGGCTTTGCAGCCTCGGAGCTGGACCCAACTTTGGCAACATGGGATTCCACCACCTCCTCCGTAGTCTCATCACCTCTGGGGAGCTTGGAGACCTCCTCTGAGCCACCATCTCCTGGCCGCAAGGACAGCATCCTCCAGATCGCCGACAACCCCCACCTCCAGCTGCCCATGGAGGGTTTTGGTGTCCCAGCACCAGCCAGCACACCACCACTAAGCCCCCAGCCAGGGCTGGTGGCTGGTGCAGACTTCTTCCAAATGCCACCACCCACCCACCTGGACCTGGGGAACTGCTATGAGGTTCTCTGCAGGGCCAAGGCGCAGAAGCTGGGCCACCTCCAGGAGGCTGCCTACAAGGTGATGAGTGACAACTACCTGCAGGTGCTGAGGACACCCTCCATCTACAGCCACCTCAACGCCAGCGAGCGGGAGCTCATCCTGCGGCGGAGGATGAAGGGGAAGATGCACGTGGCCGTGGCGGACGTCAACATGCAGGAGCCTGGCCTCCACACCAGCCGCCTTTGCTATTACGATGATGGAGGAGACCGCTGGCGTCACCTCTGCCACGTGCCACCAGAGGTGGTCTCCCGCGGGTGCGCCATGTGCAGCATGTTCAACTACCTCTTTGTGGTGGCCGGGTGTGAGGGCACGGGCCAGGCGCAGAGACCCTCCAACCGTGTCTTCTGCTACGACCCCCTGACCAACATCTGGAGGGAGATCTGTCCCCTGAACCAAGCCCGGCCACGCTGCAAGCTCGTGGCCTTGGATGGGCACCTCTACGCCATCGGTGGCGAGTGTCTCTGCACAGTGGAGCGCTACGACCCCCGGCAGGACCGCTGGACCTTCACCGCACCCCTGCCCAATGACACCTTCGCCGTGGCCCACACGGCCACGGTGTGCAACGGGGAGATCTACGTGACGGGGGGCACCTTGCGCTATGTGCTGCTGCGTTACGCCGCCCGCTCGGACAGCTGGAGGGTCAGCCCGGCCAGCGGTGGGAAGAACAGGACAGTTGAGATGGTGAGCGCCAACGGCTTCATCTACCGTTTTGACCTCCACCGCGGCATGGGCATCGCCGTCTACCGCTGCAGTGCCAAGGCGAAGCTATGGTATGAGTGTGCCACCTACGCCATGGCCAACCCATCCAGCTTCCAGTGCGCTGTGGTGGGCAGCCTGGTCCACTGTGTCAGCCGGCACTTCCACATCCGCTTCTTGGCTGACCACATCTCACCACGCTTCGGGACCAAAGAGCTGCAACCCTTCCCATCGCCCTGTGGCAGGCTCCTCCCAGCCGTCCTGGGGCTGCCGGAGGGAGGGGCGGCGCAAACGCAGGTTTGAGGAATCCATGCTGGGGTCTCCATGGTGGTGGCTCAGACGTGACATGATGGTGGGAGCTGGTAGAAGAAGCCACCAGCCCACATTGGACCATGTAGTATGGGACCAGCACCAACAGGGCAATGTCACCCATCAAGCGGGCATCACACCGGTCCTCGTAAGTAAAGAAAGAGAAACTACCCTTTGATACGACCAGTAAACCCAACCTTGGAGACACAGGGAAGAGCAAAGTGGGAGCTGGGTGGACTCGTTTGCACAGAGGTATTTAAACATGGGCGTGAGTGCGCGGATGCAAATAAACCCCGGCTTGCTGCAGGCTCCCAGCTGTGCGCTGCCTGATAAGTGCCTGTTTTACACGCCAGGGGTTTCATATTGACCTGGACACGCAACACGGGAGATTTCCGGGTGGAAGAACACAGCAGGGAGGTTGGATCCCTAAGGAGGTATCACCCAAAGGTCAGCCCCATTGGCATCACGCCGAAATTGGAGCCTTCAGGCTCGACCGCACACATCACCCCAGGGTTGGAGGCTCAGCACGGAATATATTTATAAAAATATATTTATATGCACGCGATATAAATAGGCACTGTGGATTTATAGACAGCTGGTCCTAAATGAAATTAAAGCGAACATTTGGTAAAATTAACCACGGGCTACTGTTGCGCATCATTTCGAGCCGGAGCCAATCCTAATGGGAACAAAGAGGCTGATGCATGTTTTACATCGCTAATTACTGCACAAACAATGTCTCTGAAGAGACAACCCGAAGCAAACGGGGGATCCGGATGCGAGCAGCCAATCTTTCATCCCCTTTTCCCCGCGTTTCACCGACCTCACTCCGCCGTCTCCATGTCCTGCCAAGAGCCTACTTTGGGTAATTGCATTTTCTTCCCCTCTAGCTGTTAGCAAAACGCCTCGTCATCTGTCAGCTGTCAGCCCCAGACGGACAAAAATAACTCCCAGATGGATTAAACCCTCCTGTACCTGCCTCCTTGGTGGCAGCAGGTCGTGAGCACCAAGTCATGGATGCTCTTGAAGACCTTGGAGACAAGAGCTGGTGCTGGAGCAGCCCACGGTGTCACCATTCACGCCGTGCTGCTCAGGGTGGTTTAGGAGAGCTCAGGTTAATGTTCTCTCAAGGTGCTCTCAGAAGTATTTATGGCTTCTCTCGGTCGCTGCCTGGAGGCCTGGCGTTTCTGCCTTCAAGGGCTTCCCATGAAGGTCAGTGGCATCCATCCATGTTAGGAGACCTTGGGAGGCTGCATTAATTAACCCTGCCTCTGAGGTTTGCTCGTTAGCTGTAGCAGCGTTGCTTCTGCCGATGGAGAGTGGGCGATGCAGCACCTCCCTGGGCTCAATTCTGCCACCATCCAGCCCCTCTCACCCACTCTGGGACCACCTCGTCCTACCCCAGGAGGACCACCCCGCCCATGATGTGGAGGACTCCAGCCTCCTGCATCCCAGCACCTCTCTATGCCGGGATGCTTGGGCTGGTAAACCTTAGGAATCAAAAAAACATCATCAACATCATCATCATCATCATTATTATTATTATTATTTAGCCCCTTGTCATTTAGCTCCCTCCATAGCTGGTGCTCAGAGCAGCAAGCTCAACAAGATGGGCTCACGCACGCTCCAACACATTTCTTCTTCTTCACATACTGGTAGCTTCCAGAACAGCCCAGCTCCTCTGCAAAAACCTCTTGTCCCCACCAGCATCCCAGCTTCGTGCCCTTCAGCATCCCTGCCGCGGCACGCCGGGCTCCGGGGAGC